CACACACCCACACCCACACCCTGACATTGCAGACACCTACACAGTGAGGCTGCAGCCTGCTTGTCCTGGCTCGGTGTCAGCTCCAGGGATGCAGAGATCTGGCCCCAGCTCACTGTCCCTTGCTGGTTTACCCTCTGTGATGAAGTTGGACTGTTCTTAATGTTTCCTCTGAATACTGTGTGGGTGCCTCAGTTTCCCCTATGCATTTCTTAAGTCTCCAGTGTGCATAAATGGCCAACACTCTGTACCCTGGCAACAAATGGCTGGGGCCCTTCCCCCCTGCAAGGGAATAGCTAAAAGTGAACAAAGAGATCAGGTGACCTCCTGGCCTGGGAAAGAGACAAAGGCCAGAAAGGAGGGGCTGGAGGGGGTTTTCCAGTTTGGAGCTGGCTGGGGATGGGAAGTGAGGGCAGACGGGGTTGTCTGGCTCGCTGGGCCCCAGAATGGACCACGCTGAGGGGTCCCGTTCTCTGGACCTACAAGCTCTATTTTAGACCGTGTTCCCATCATCAAATAAACCTCTGCTTTACTGGCTGGCTAAGAGTCACGTCTGACTGCGAAGTGGGGGTGTATGCAGGACCCTCTGGCTTCCCCAGGACCCTACCTGGGCGGACTCACTGTGGGAAGCGCACAGAGGGGCATATGCTGAATGCTCAAAGGTCAGACCCAGGAAGGTGAAGCCGTGTGAGCTTCTTGCCCTGAAGATAATCTGTTCTATGGGAGAGGAGGCTCCCCAAAGTCCTGACTGGCTTTGTGGGGAGCAGTTGCAGAGCATCGCCCGGGGACTCAGTGACACCCTCAAATATTTACCTGTCCCTTAGGATGGTTCAAAGGTAACAGGAATTTCAGTCCCACCAGGCAAACAGGGCCCTTTAGTGGTGGTGAACCTGGGGGTGGGGTGGGAGGCCCCTGACCAGGGGAGAGCGATTCTGGAAGGGGGTGAGCGTCAGGCATCAGGCCTGGGGTCCATATCCCTTAGATCGGCTTCCATGGAAGGGCTCAGATCTCTGTCACGGCCAGTCTGGCATCACAGAGCCCAATTCTGTCCTCGGTCACAGCTGGGCATCCCGAGACAGCCCCAGCCAACGACCCAAACAGGCTTCACAGCCTCAGTGTGGTCTGGGCACAGCTGCGGGAGCGTCTGCCAGAGTAGCATTCGCCCCCCGGAAATCAGAGCTGGGACTGAGCGACTGGGGACAGCGCATCCTGCCCCTCCCGACCCGGCCCTGTCCCCGGTCAGTGCAGGGCTTTCCCAGGGCTGGCTTGAAATGACTATGGGGATGGGTCTGCAGCGCCCCCTGCTGACCAGGCTAATGGCTCTCAGGATGAGGAAACGCCTGGCGGTGCCCAGCGTGAGCCAATCACTGCTGGGTAGATGACAGGGAGCCACGTTCTATGATGTCCAGTGAGGGCCCAAGCGAGTGGCAGGGGGGAGTGGGGCACTCAGTGAATGTGGGTCACAGCGACACAGCGCTGGCCTGAGAGACAGAGAGCACCATGGACTCCCCAGAGCAGCCCCACTGCTGCTCCCCGAGGGTTGGCAGGTTTAGCTCCTTCCTGCTTCCTAGGGGCCCCTCTCCCAGAGGCTGTTCGCTTCCAGCCTTTCTGGCCAGAGAGAGAAGAGCCCCAAGGCGGAAGTGTGGGGCAGGAGGCTGCTAATGGAGCTGACACAGAACCCCTGGGCGGCTGTTAGTTAGGGCGGTGGGACGGGGCTCGTCTGCACCCCAGGGACGGGATTGGGCCCCATCGTCTGGACCAGTCTCCTCAGGGCGTGTTAGCGAAACGCAGCAATGACGCCAGCTCGGGAGGAGCTGCAAAGAGCAGGGAGGACAAGAACTTACCCGACGGGACCTGGCCCGAGTCGGGGGATGGGCAGGAAATAAGAGAAACATGATTCAGCTCAGAAACTGACACTAATACGCCAGGGCCAAGAGAACCCGACCCAGCCGGGTCCAGCCAGGTTTGAACACTGCCCCCTCCCGAGACATCTCCCATCTGCCAGGGCGTTCTCCCCACAGGCCCCACGTGCCCAGCTGTATCTCAGGCTTCACCACCTCCACTGTGGGCCTCTCCTGCCTCGCCCGCTGGCCCTGGGAGCCTCCTGTCTAACGAGGGACCCCACAGGGCCTAGAGAACACGGCTCCATCCCCATGTGCCTCCCCCTCCACACACAGACTGAACAGAATCCAGGAACCTGGGGGGATCCACAATTGGAGCAGAGGGTCCCCATAAAGGGAAAACAGAGCTGGTGGAACATGAGCCCACGGGGGCTGCGCAGGGACCCACTGCTCTCTTGCGCTGTCTCCGTTTGATCTGCTCTGCGGTTTTCAGCTGCATCTCCAAGGTTCAGGTCGTGTTGAAGCCCTGGGACAGACACATTCACAACTGAATTCCGTCTCCAGGCTTCACACCGCAGCGTCCAGTATGTGCTGAGTGTGCAACGTCCCTCTGTGTGTTTGAACCTTCAGCACAGGCTGCTACTCCTTGTGCCACGGCATTATGTTCAGTGGCAGCAGGAGCAGGTTGTTGTCCTGGGTGGGTGATGGGCTATTTGGCTCAGTGGGCTGGGTGGGACAGAGGTCCTGCTCCATGTGATCGCCCAGAGGTGCCCTGGGCCGCTGGAGCCATGTTCTGTGCCCAGTGAGGGAAGCCCACACCTCTTGCTAGAGCAGCTCCCACTTGTTCCCAGGACAGGAGCTGGAGCTGCTGCTCTGGGGGTGGCGGCTGGAGGCGGCACTGTGGGAGGTTCGAGCTCAGTGATATTCAGGCAGGAACACAAGTGCCGGAGGGGAAATGGGGATTGTTCTGAACAGTTTATGTCAGTGGTTCTCCCTCCACCTGTGGCCCAAGGACAAATGGGGGCAGGCAAACTATGTCTAGTATCAGGGGGTAGTCGTATTAGTCTGTATCTACAAAAACAACAACAATTCCTAATTGATTGAACCTAAACTAAAATAACCCTGCGTCACACCACAATAAGTGCATCCACACTGGGGTTTTCACTGGTGTAAGTAAATTGGTTTAAAAACTAACTTCATTTGAATTGGTTCATTTTCATGTAGACGTGTGTAATGAGGGCAGCTCTGCCAGGCGGGGCTGGAACCTGGGGGGCTGTCGCTGACGCTGCCTGACCCAGGGTTAAAGCCAAACCCCACAGCAATGACCGAAGGGCTGGGGAAGGGGACAGAGCCATGGTCCCATGGCTCTAAGGATGCACAGGAGCCGTGTGAGGAGCAGCAGCAGGGCAGGAACAAAGCGACAAAACAGCCTCACAAAGAGGTGGGTTTTTGTATTTTGTTTTACACTGAAACTGCTGCTCCAGGCAGGACGGGCAGCAAACCCCAGGGGTCCCCACTGCAGCCACTGGTCCCTGGACAGACAGCTGGGATCACGTGGGCCGGTCTGGAGGCTGAGAGATGGGAGAGCAGGTGGGATGTTTGCAGAGCGAACGGGGAGGCGTTGGCTGAAGAAGGTGCTAAGGGGGATAGTGCAGCTGGTTCGGGGAAGAGCAGCAGCTGAGACGAGGCCTGTCCATGCCCCCCGATCCCGGGGTGTCGGCTGCCGGCGCGGGGCTCTTGGGACAGGAGGGGAGGGGGCTGCCCAGCAGGGGAGGGGGCTTCAGCGGGAATTTTCCATCGTGTCGGCGTCAGGGGCTTTAAACAAACACAAACATCCCCTGAGACAGGATCAATATCACCCCCACACACCCGGCAGACACCTGTGGACATGCCCCCCCGAGAACTCTCCCATCCCCTGATAAGACTGTCCCCTCAGAGTCACTCCCTGCCCTCAGGACAGATTCCCTTGTGCCCCACATAGACCCTTCCCCCCGCGAGGTCTCTCCCACCCCACACATGGTCCTGGTGGGTTCCATGCTCCCATCTCCCTGTCCTTTGCCATCTACAACACAAACAGACATCTCTGGCCCATGGATTCCCCCCACCCATAAAGTTGTAGGGACTGGAGTTGTGTGTGGGTGCATCACACCTACCTGAGCCGCAGGGGGCGCTGTACTCAGCCTCTGTGTGTTCACCTGCAACAGCAAGGGATGTAAGGAATGGAGGAGAGACCGAGTGGGGGGATGAGAACCCCTCCCCCTAATCCCACACAGGCAGAGTCTGTTACCCCAGCCCCAGGGGATCCCTGCTGTAGGTCTGAACCCTAGAAGGGAGTGGGACGTCGTCCCCAGCTGTCTGAGTGGGGCTCTGCGCTCTCTCCCATCCCATCTCCAAGTAAGTCAGACGGACCCAGAAATCACCACTGAGTCACCCCTGAAAACACCCATGGAAACCGTCCTGCCACCTCCTGGCCCAGAACAAAGGGTTCTGGGGATGTCCGAGGAGCTGGATGGCAGGGGAAAAGTGGGGGGCCCTGAAGGGGTGGGACTCCCCAGCTCTCGCTGGGACGGCCCCAGTTACACCAGCCACACCCTCCCCACTAGTCTGACGAGCACACGGCTCCCGTGTCCCTCGTGGTTAGCCGACCCCACAGATTGAACCCAGGAAGTCTCTGACCTGAGTAGGATTTATGGAAATGGGGCACTTGGCACCTGGGGAGATTTCAGTGACCCCACGCCCTGAGTGTGACACAGAGCCCACGAGAACAGCTGTAATGGGGGTGAAGCCAGGGCAGGACACGCCCACCCAGCCACTGACTGTGCCACAGAGCCTAGAGAGTAGCTGTAATGGGGGCGGAGCCAGGGCGGGACTCACCTGTCTCATAGTAATCGTACAGTCTCACTGGGGCTGCTCTGAGATTCTTCACAGGGAAATCCTGCTCCAGGGAGAAGGTGAAACTCGCCGCTTCCTTCGTCAGCTACCGAGAGAGCGACAGAATGAGCGCCTGGGCTGAACGTCTGCACTGGCAGCTTGAACCCCCTCCTCCCCAAGGCTCGGCCTGGCCCAGCCGCTTCCCCCTGCCCCTGCGGCCTGAAGCAGTGAGAAAATGCTCCCCCTGAATCCCTGTTCCACCCTCCTCCAAAATGTGACACCTTTCATCACACTCAGGGCCCAGCTCCAGCCCCCCAACCCTGAGCTCCCCGTCGCTCCGTTCACGGCCCTCCCTGGGGTTTGGCTGAGTCTGGTCCCATCTCCCCGTCCTTTATGGATAGGGGTCACTTGGAACCAGGGGAGATATCAGTGACCCCACGCCGTGCATGTTCCACAGAGTCCACGAGAGCAACTGTAATGGGGGTGGGGCCAGGGCAGGACACGCCCTCCCCATTCACACCAGGCCCCCGGAGCCCCGAGCCGCCCGCACTCACCTCGTCCAGATAGAGCGTCACCTGGTCATTCTGCACCTCCAGCCTCTTCACCAAATGCTGCTTCTCCAGCTAGGAGCAGAGGGACGAAACGGCTGAGCCAGGAACGGAGGCAGGGTGACCAGATGTCCCGATTTTATAGGGATGGTCCCGATATGTGGGTCTTTTTCTTATATAGGCTCCTATTACCCCCACCCCCTGTCCCGATTTTTCACATTTGCTGTCTGGTCACCTTAAACGGAGGGGCTGGGGCCGGAGTCACTGCTCTGCTGGGGGCTGGAACATGGGGAACCAAACGCCCCCGTGGCCGAGGGGCCTGGCTGCCACCCCCCATGTCAGTCACAGCTGAGCACTGGGTGTCTGCTGGGGGAGGGGCGGGAGTCTAGACATGGGTGTTGTGTTGTAGGGGGAGCTAAGCAGGGTCAGGACCTGCTCAGTGACTGGATGGGAGACCCAGGGCTGCACAGTGCCCCACGGCAGGGGGCAGGGCTCTGCAGGGGGAGCTCCCCCTGAGGGTCAGAGCTGCAATCTGTGTTCTCCTGGGGGTCTGGGCTCTCCCCCATGGATCAGGGCTGGCTCCAGGTACCTGCTTGGCAAGCAGGTGCTTGGGGCAGCCACTCCGGAGAGAGGCGGCAGGTCCAACAATTCGGCAGATGGTCTCTCGCTCCCACTGGGAGCGAAGGATCTTCCACCGAATTGCAATCGCATCTTCTTTTTTTTTTGGCTGCTTGGGGTGGCCAAAACCCTGGAGCCGGCCCTGCAATGGATCAGCCCCTGGTTTCATGCTCTGTGACTGGCCCGGCCTGTTCTCCTCCCTGGGAAGTTCACCTGCCGCAGGGAGCTCTTGACGGGGATGTAGCCGGACGGCAGCTTGGCCTCGATGATGGCCATGTTGGAGGCTGGGCGCTCCCCGCTGTACCTGCAACAGGAGCGGTGCGCTGAGGTCGGGGTTTGCCCTGGATACAGACCCCAGGGGGATGGAGTGGGAGGGGAGGCCTCCCATCTTCTCGGCCCTGCAGGCATCTCTAATGCCCTCTGCCTGCTCTGGGCTGTG